AGAGAGATAGTAAGGAGAGCGAACGGGAGAGAGAGAGAGAGAGAGAGAGAGAGAGAGAGAGAGAGAGAGAAAGGTGACATAAGTTTGATCGCAATAAATAACCGTTCATAATGTTCGTGTACAAACACACACGACTCGTTGCACCCAGATGTTCTGATCGCACGACACGTCATTCCAGGTCCCGTTTACCAGCATCTAAAGGTGTCCAAAATATCAAAAAAGTCAGTTATTTAATCGATACGTTAATTTCGTTACTAAAAGCGCATCTTAAGCAAAAAAAACGAAAAACAAATACTCACCGTGCCACAATCTTCCGGATCTCCATAGCCATTGACGTACGACGGACTGCCCCCGCTCCAATTTGTGTAGTTGTATGGGGTACCGTCACTAAAAACCATACAAGAAACCACGGTAAGAAGATTGAGCTGCCGATGCTCAAAAGCCGCCCAGAAACGTACCTCCATGTAATGGTGCGATCAGCTGCGGTCTGTGTCCCGATAAAGATGTAGCCGCCACAATCTAGTTTGGCGAAAATATTCTCTAAACGCGAATTGTACTATTTTGCTACTTCAATTTATTTATACATTTTTCTCTTCTACTATACTTATTATCATTTAATGGAGTACTATCCCAGAAATAGGTAATTAACCTTTTACGGCTGCGTTCTCATCGTATGAATGAATCGATAGCTCGCTGACACCATACGTAGCGCATTGTTGTTGACAAACCTATTATGTAAAAGGTCAACCAATCTGTAATCAAAATTGTATAAAACTCAATTTTTAAAAAGAGCTAGTAAAAAGAGTAAAAAACCGGGTCGTTACGTAACCCTATAGATCCGGAGCGTTACTATGCGCCGCGGGGACTGTGCGCTCTTTGCGTCGCCGTTTTGGCCGCTTTTGGCCTTGTTTCTATCTCCAATTTGCTCGTAATTATCATTAGAATACCCACAGAAATGTAAGCGCAAGTTGGCGAGCTGATGTAATAGTATTTGCTGCTGATCTATAAAAATATGACTTTAATCCGTCACTACATATTTTGCCTACATTAAAAACAGGATCCCAGGGGAGTCTTGTTGCTGTAGTTGTAGTTTGCACTGTAGTGGATGTATCAGCTGCATTGTAAACGGTGCAGGCAGAAATATCCATCGCCGACAAATCGGCATTTCGGGTCAGTTCAAAATTCGTATTTTGGGCGAGGGTCATTGAATCCGAGATGATAATACAAGTTGAGGTATCGTCTAAGAAGTTAGTTTTTGTGTCACTTAACAACCCTGCGAATCTCGATAAAGTTTCTGGCCAGACTTACTGGTTGCAATTCCAAGACAATCGAGGTCCAATACACAATTCTTGAAGCATGCTTCGGTAGGAAATTCTTGAACTGCCAAAGCCTGTCGCGTGAAAAGATTGTCACTACCACTTAACCCATTAAACAATAATATTAATGAAGGAATTTCCAATCGGAGCATGTTTCCATAATGCCTGCATCTACAGGCTTGGTCTCCCGGCAAGCACTTTTGCAAATTACTTTTGAATTTATGTGGCCTGTGGAAGTTCGGCAACTGCTAGGCAACCCATCTTTATGATATCCGAAGGCAGTGAAACAGGAGATCCGCATTAAAATGTGGAACCATGATAAAATGAATTTTTGTTCTTCACGAGGCTTTGACCGGCATCGATCAATTGTGGTACAGGGAGTTCCAATAAATCAAGCGCAACTCCATTGCTACAGTAATCTTCGAGCGGTGGTGAAAGTAGTTTTTCCAGCATTTTCATTATTTTTGGACATTTTTTGGCATTTCAGCAAATTGCATCGACTTACGGCTATGGCCCCTTGTTTCAGTTAGGTTCTTGGACGTTTTGGATTGTGGAAATTGGTGATTTTTGTCAATAGAAAAATTTTTGTATTTTTTGCTAGCTACGTAGCTGAGCGATGATCGTTATGCCTTAAAGGGGCTACGAACTGCCAAAAATTGAATGACGGCCCGAAAATCGGAGCCCTGGACGTCGGAGGCCTCTGTACACCCCGGGGTCCGGGAAGCTCGCAAAAAGTTGAAATTCCCTGTTGTCACCTCGAAATCACGTTCTCGGCTGTTTCTGGGCCAAATGTGATGCTTAAAACACCAAAACTATTTCAAATTGAGTGAGGATTGCAACAATGGGATCAAAATGCCCAAATTATAGTGTTTTCACAAAGAAACCGGGCAAAAATAACTTCGCGCAAAAATCGAAAGAGTGAGGTCTCTCGTCCCGCAGCGCCCGCTGGCAATTTGCCAGAAATCAAAGAGGCCTCCCAAAAGGGCTTTGATTTGGCAGTTCGGAGCCCCTTTAAGTTGTGGCCATGATGGAACGTTATACCCTCTCTGCGGAAATTCCATTAGATCGTCTGTAGATTATGCTGTAGTTTTTATACAAAATGCCCATTTTTTGAGACTTGGCAATGAGGGTGAAGATAGGCCGCAGCGATCATGTAGTAATCATCAGCGTGCAATAACATGAGGCGAGAAATGGATAAACTCCGGCCTTGCATGAGACATCGTTCCACCGGCCGCTCGGCATGGTCTGGAAGTGGCTTGTTTCTTTTAAACCCAAAGTTATAAATCAGTTTAATGGTTCTTTTGCGCGATAAGCCATTTGGAATAACAGATTTATGGCTGCTTTCGATAGAACAAAAAAGCCCACTAACCATGGCGCAGTTTTCAGGATTCCCGTCGCCATCCGTGCCTGACGGGTTTGGCCACTTAAAATTGCGGTAGTCCATTATCGTTCCGTCCCTAAAAAGGCAGTTGTAAAAGATACAAAAATTTTTACAGCCATTTCAAAGTCGAAGGATTCATTCCAAGTGTGATGTTGCCGTTGCAGGCACCCTTATTCTTGTCTAAACACGTTTTTAACCGGATCTGAACTAAGTAAATCATCAATTCAAGAAGGTATAAAAACCAACTTATGACAAAATTCTGCTCGGAGGCCGAGTGGATGGACAGCGGTTTCGTATTGGTTTGTGCGCAAACGTTGATGCAGCTCTGAAAAGAGGCCTGTCGCATAGCTACTTGTTCATCCTATGTATTTCCTTGCAAACTTCAATTGTCTTGTCAACTGAACGTTCGATTGCATGGCCTCAGTAAGTCAAATATTTTTGTCCTACTCACCTGCGGAGAAATACACTTGGTCGCCATCTTATAGTAGTACTTTCTATTTGAGCTAAAAACCGGCAGGTTACCACCACGTCTAGGTATCGCGGTAGTTGTTGTAGCCTTTTTCGTAGTTTTGGTCGTCTTGGTCGTCTTGGTCGTTTTCTTGGGTGTTGTGGTGGTAGTTGTCAAGATCGTTGCATTATAATAAGTGCTGTCGTTAGCACAATAATTTTCTCCTAGATCTTCTTCGGTAACATTTCTTGTTAATGCAAATCCTGTTTGGAGGTCTAAGCCTTCCAATGAAGTTATGAAGCTGCAGCTTGTGGAAGCTAAATGGTATACTTGAATACTTTAAGTTTCATGTGTTAACAAAAATATACGTGGTGCCCAACAAGCACCTTTAATTGCTACTCTCGGAACCGTACCTACCTCCCCCAACTCCGAGACATTCCTCATTTACGAGACAGTTCTGCATGCACGCCAGTTCCGGTGCGTCACCGAGGGTATAGCATTGTCGTTGGAACAGCGAGACAAAGTCGGAGCTTGACGTTGGAATTAGGAGAAGGAAAACATAAAACAGCATCTGAATCGAACCTCAACCCAAAAATGGGGGGCCCCCGTTAGTTTCCAGGGCGCTTTGATACGTTTAGGGTAATTTTCCTGACAGTTTGTGGCATTTTGGAACGGCAGACGTAAACAACGACAACGAAAAACGCGTTTCAACTCTAAAATTATCCAGAGGAGTTTTTATTGCAGCACTATAGAATTTTATTTGATACATACATAATGACAGATACACAAAATATCGTTCATAAGGTTTCCGTACAAACACACGTTACAAGTTGAGAAAAATATGCGGCCTGGCAGGCCACGTCGTTCCACCACCCATTCATTGGCTTGTAACTAAATATTTCTACATGAGATGTCGCCCAAATAAAAATTACCAATACGCAGTTTTCCGCATGTCCATAACCATCAACAAAGGATGGGTTTTGAGGTGACCAATTTGCGTATTGATACATTGTGCCATCTCTAAATCAACGCAAAGTTTCCGCTGGAACAGTGCGTTTGATTACGCTAGTTTAATAATTATATCATGTTTTTCTACAGCTACGAAAACCCACCTCCAAGAAATCGTGTTTCCCGTGCCGAAACGTATACCAAGTGCCATGACACCACTGCAGTTTCGCTTTGCAAAGATTTTATCTGAATCACGGGATCACATGCACCATCACGTCCTTTTTCCGGTTATACGGTGGGAAAGTCAAACCCAACTTACTCACAACCTGCTGATTTTCGTTTGCAGAATGTATTGACAAGGTGTCGACACCATTTGCGTCACATATTTGATAGCATTCCTAAGCTTCCATATGTTACACGCTAACATCAAATCTTACAAAAACATTTCGACAAGGCACCGAGCTGACGTAGTAGTTTTTCGAGCCTAACTATAACTTTGGAGTAAAATATATACCATAGCTCGCTTACGGAAAAAGTCGGCGCCCATGGAGCTTTTTGTGTCGTGGTCGTGGTAGCTTTTTTCGTCGTCACGATAGCTTTCTTTGTGGTAGGTTTTGCTGTAGTTTTCTGAGCAGTCGAGGAAGCGACGATAGTCTGCATTTCAGAGGTAGGAATAGAGGGAGAAAGAGTAGAATCAGTACTATCAGTGGTATCGTAAATCTCGTAGTTTCCGTAGTAGTCATATTCAGTAGAGACATCCGGTGGTGGATAAATTTTGCAGTCAACAGTCGAGGTACCATTACGGTCAAGTATAAAATTTGTGTTATCGTCTAGAGTCACGGGGTCAGCGAGCAAGATACAGTTCGAAACATTGTCTAAAAAATCAATAGAATATTTAGAACAAAACCAGGGTTGAAAAGCCGCTACGCGGCTTTTCACCCCTGGCCTTCGCGCACGGAGCTCTCAAAGTTGGGCACTTTGCATAGTTCGAGCGAAGAGCGGGAGTGAACCCAAAAACGGTAAAAGCAACCGGCCGCTAGCGCGACAAAATTCGAAATGAGCCTCCTAGCGCCCGGTATGCAAATGAGGATATTTCCATATGTTTTAAAATAGCTAAAATAAAGTATAAATCGATATTTTATTAAAAATCTGATAAGCTTGCAGTAATCTACGCCCTCGACTACCCCTAAATACTTTTCGACTGGGTCCTAAAATTGATCCTCCTTCCCGATATCTTGGTAACCCGGTTTTTTCGAGCCATTTATGCAAAGTGTCCACACACACACACACATGAACTATTTTTTTATATATAGTAGGATTTGTAGAAAATTCTCGATGTTTTCGCCTCTATGAAAAGTCAGGCAAGAACAAGGGATTTTATACTAGTGTAAATATCATTTCCTGCATAAATTCGTACTTTCCCCTATCCCCAGACAAGTCGTGTCCAGCACACAACTCTGCAAACAATCCTCCAGCGGTTCGTCTTGATAAGCGAAGAATTGTCGTGTGCAAACGTAGTCACTTCCAATTCCATTTAGTAAAAATAATAGCTCGAAAATTAGCCTAATGTCCATCTAGCCCAGTTGCCAATCCCTGGAAGTCCCAGTCCTTGCTCGCATCACCCCCATCTCCCAGGCAATTTTATAGCCTTTCAACGCAATTTTCCTAATCCGTCTTCTTGTGCGTCTGACGACGGCGCTTTTGCAAATTATTTTTGCTGGCCATTTTATTCCCTTGGCGAGCAAAGATGGCCCGGGCGGGAGCGGTTTTTAGAATTGATGAGCCGTCTGGCGGCTGTGGTTTGAGGTCTCGGGATCTTTGCATGTCATTCGCGCTATAATAGGACGGGCTTGAATTAAAAAAAACTCATGTAAATTGATAAAAACTTGTCGTTTCAAGGGTTTTTTAATGGTATAACTATCATTTATTTACTATCATCTACTCTCCGATACTTCTGCTTTGAATTGGGGGGGGGGGGCGTTTTTTTGGGAATGTATAACCCCGTAATTACGAAAATGGCCGAATGGAAAACTTTATTCGGACCTTGAATTTCAGCAAGCCATGCTGAAAAACGGTGTTTCGTGTGTAATCGGGGCCCTTAGAAAGGCTTGTGTGGCCATCCAGGGAATGGGTTTCCCGAGGTGGGCGGCGGATACGGGACGCCAACTGGCCAGTCGGGCGGCGGGATTAGCGGCAGGCCGGCGACTTGAGATACTGAAATTAAAAATAAGAATAGCTATGTTTTTGAAGCTGTAAAAAGCTACGATCTGTGGGCCACTATCCGCAAACTGCACGATGCTATAGCGTCGTGCGGTATTAGTGTTTTAAGCCAATCAACTTCACGGCAGTTGCCCCTACCCGGCGGTCGTAGGGGATTTTATGTTAGGGTCGATTTCAAAAATACGATGTGGACAACGAAAGGCTATTCATGCCACGGCTTACATAATTTGAAAGACTCACCAAGCTCCTGCGGTTGGTCGATCATTGCGGAATCTTCGGTAGTTAGTCGAGTACTAACTGGTCTTACTCTGGTAACGGTGGCTTTTATAGAAAGTAATTCTATTGCCTGCAACAATTTTTTTCCGTTTTTACCATGCTTCTGATAGTGATTTTTCGCGGCAACAGAATACATCTCTTGCAGGCGAAAATGGACTATCATATTTTGATTTGTGTTCGCGGGGAGCGCGCTTTTTAGAATTTTGCCCTTTTTAGAACCTGTCACAATCATATTTTACTCCTTCGGCTGCTGGATCTGATGTTTATTTCAAACTAGCCACGACTGACTAGAACCTCTCTACGCTCCGCACGCTGAATGTTCCATACTGCCCCGGCAGACACCTGAAAATCACACAAAAACCCAAGGTAATTGATAAGAGATCGCGGGGGCACGAGCGAGAAAATGTTTTGTTTAGAAGCCCCGTTTTATTGCATGAATCAGGCCTCTAAAAATATTTCCTGAAAGCCAAATTTTAGTAAATTGCATAATTGCAGAAGGATGCTTTGCTACGGTAAGTGTTTGATGAACACTTGGAATTGTTCTTTTCTGGAAAAAAAGCAGATTTTTCTAGAATAGGGACGTATTTTCAAAAAACGCCAAATTTCAGATTTGCTGCAGCTTCCAGAACCGGAACCCTACGAGCCGATCAGCCTGGTTTGGGAGACGTTGACCGGAAAATTAAATTGAATCGGACTTCCTTACCAAAATAAATTATTTTTCATAGGTACCTTTTTCGGGCTGCACCGTACCTTTATAATTAAACGTCGAGCTTTTTAAAGAACACTGTCAGCGTTTTTTATTGGATATGCAAAATTTCGCTCAGCGATTGCTTTCAAGCAACACACATAACAGAAACTCGAGTTTCCTCCATTACTCAGGCGAGATGTTTTTTTACTTCTTATCAGGCAGTCCGCCTTGAACTTCCACGACCCAATGGCGGGTTAGATCTTTATTTTTGCAACAAGATAACCCCGTAACATAATAGTGATTGCATACAAGAACTACGGTCACGTGGTATGCTTTAAAATTTCATTGCATATCAATTCGGTTTTATATTTTTTCCCTTAAAATAAACTTCGATTATTTTTGACTACCGCCATGGCTCATCTGGTGATCCCATCCCTGCTGTAGCTCCTGAAGACGCCAAAGGCCAAAATCGGTTCCGATGCTACCCTGGATACTGGGTCAAGTTCATACGATTGTCGAGAAAACTACGCAAATTACATAATAGATCCCTTTTTGCTTTGCATATGTCAAATTACTAGGTTGAGTGGATGCAAGCTTCTGATGGCCAACGTGGTGACCGCATGATTTTCGAAAAATATGCTGCATGTAAAATTACGGAGCCATTTTTGTGTTGCAACCCGTAACAAGCGATAAGAATAACGATTCTGATTGGAGAAACTGGGCCCAGACTGCCAAGAACCGGCAAAAATTTTGTGCGGCAACACGATTGGAAGTATATAGCGCCTCGAGTCGTCAGGAGTATTCGGTGTAGAACTTGCCGCTGCCGTCAACACTATGCCTGGAACGGAACAGGATTCGGGTAAATTGATCTTGGAATTTTTTGATTGATTGAAACTTGGATTTGGCATTGAAATTCTGGTAAAACGTTGAAGTGCCTGCTGGCTTTCTTTGAAAAATTCTATAAAGTTGAAGATAAATATACATTAATCTTTTTCAGCGCCGCGACGTGGGCCAGGTTGCCGAGGGGATCCCCACATACCCAAACCCCCGCCAAGCCCTCCACTACCTACTCCGGGAGACATCATCGTCGATATCATCAAGACGATCTTCAAATAGGCCGGAAGAAGCCACCTGAATCGTGATTTATTGCTACATTGCATTGTGATGGAACGGCAAATAAAATCTTTTTGCATGTGGTGTTTGAAAGTGAATCCAAACACCTTCATAATTGCTTTAGTGTACACAACGCAAGTAATGCAACAAAAATTTTCCAAAAAAGAGGAACAGGATTTTTTTCATATGTTAGAAAAACGCAAAACCAACTTAATTGTTTTATTGTCAAACCAGCATTTAAAAAAACCCTCCGCGGCTTTTCACCCCCTGGCGTCGTCTAGGCATCATGAAAGATGAAACTTGCATAATTCTTCCCGAAGATCGATCACAAAAGAAGTTAATAGCCGTATGCTACCCCACATTTTCGGGGGTGTTCTCCCAAATAGGGGGGGCCAAGATTTTTAAAAAAAATTTTTTTTAAAAAAAAAAGTTTTTTTAAGAGGCCGTTGTCCGCGACCGTTTTTTTTTTTTTCTTATTTAATGATAATTTTTTTTTGCATATAAACAAAAAAATATTTTCCACATTTGCGGATGCCAATTGCTCCCTAACAAATAGCGTGGCCAAGAATTTTACAAATACATAATTTTTATAACTAAAGTGGTTTTTCAAAAGTCGACCTTGTCGGCACTCGTTAACGGACCATCCTACACCAAAACACCCTTGTTCGCTATCGAAAAGGGATTCCTGAGGCTGCGTTTACGGAATATACAAGTAAGTAAATTTTTATATGCAAAGATACACAATTTCAAGGATTCTATTTTCCACGTGATTTGGCGGTTTTTGTGATAAGCTATTCCCGGTCTGGTTGCGAAAAAATATGTTGCGCCCAAAAATTACCGCAGATTTTGTGTCGCAAGCCGCTAACAACGATAAGCCCAGCTTCCAAAAAACATCTCTATGTCAGAAAATTTCGGTCGATGAGTTTTAGCAGCAACAAATTTGGGGGTATAAGAAGTGAGAGAAAGCAGCGAGTTGGTGTCGAGTTTTCCATTGAACTCCGCACTACCCAACACACCTTTACACAATGCTAGGAAAGGAGCAGGAGCTCGGTAAGTCCGCCCAACTTGCAAAAAAGCGTTCAGTTTGGACAAATTATACTCATTACTTCTTTCAGTGCCTCAAATCGACGAGGGGGGTTGTACTAAACGTCCTGAAATTTTGGAACCCTGATCCGCCGTCTCCCCAGGCAAAATCATCACCGATATCATCAGGATCATATTCAAATAAGCGATACGAATGCATGCTATTTACTCGTTTTCTTTCTGACAAAATAAATGTTTGACTTTAAAGCTTTGAAACCAACACCTGCAAATAAAAAGCATTAAAATACAAAATAAGCAAGCAAAAGAAGGTGTTTATGAAAAGTAGCCTAGAAACGCACATCGAATTTACCTCGGAACACGAGGCGTAAAAAGCAAAAGAATCATCCTGATGCTTGAGCGCCCGGTTGCCAACAAGTGCTACATGATGTCGTTGTCGTTGCCGTTGTCTTGAACTCCAAGGTCGTTGCGGTTTTAGGCGTAGAAGCGGTAGTTATTACATCAACAAGACTTTCAGCCTTAGTCCGGCAATTCCCGCCTGATCCAAGCCGATCCGCATCGAAATTTCGCGTAGAAAGAAGCCAGTTTCTTGCTCAAGTTCTGATGTCGTCGTCATCTGATTGCAGTCGTTAGTCGCTGAAAAATAAGCATAAAAGATAAGCCTTCGTTCCATGAAAATAACATTAACTTTTATATAACGCCAACCTCCACTAAGCCCCAAACATGAAGGATTGGTAACGCAAGCTCGAAGACAATCCGTGGTCGGCGAAGCTCGTGAAGTTTTGCATTGGGGTTCAAACAATGAAACAAGCTCGGCGTTGATCTTTGAAAACAGCAAAAACAACCCGCGGAAGTTCATTTCTGAAGCTTCAACCTAACGCGCTCTTCTACCTTTCGGTTTCTAGGAAACGCGAGCAGGTTCATCCGCCCCACATCACTTTTCCTAAAATCCGGGAGTTGCTGGGAAACGTAAAAATTAGCAGGTGTATTCTTTCGTCGAAAATCGAATACGATTGTATATTTTGTTTCAATATACGTATAAGGGCAGATACGCCTACGCATATAATCTTGGAATTCTTTGCCAGCTTTTTTGCCAGTCTCGGGACTTATAGCAGAAACTTTTCCACCGGGTTATCAACAAATTCTGTTGCGCCACCGTTCTGCGTTTTCTAGCGTCGTAAAATTTGTAAAAACTTCTTGCGGCATCAAAACAAAAAAGTATTGCGCAAAATATTAACTGCTATAAAGCGTTGGAATCGGCAGACACATCAGTCGTCGCTGAAAACTACTCGTTCTTCCAGCAATGATCGGACAACCAGAGCAACTCGGTAAGTCGGAAATTTTCGCTAGGCTGAACGTAAGCCACCCTTTGAAAAAATCTGTATTATTTCTTAAATATATTTATTAATATCGTCATCTTTAATTATATAATTTTTAGTTCCACGGGTTCTTCCTGGCGGCTGCACCGAAATACCCGGCGAACCAAAGCCGACGTGGCCATGGGATTCGCTGCCTGATTGGACTACAACAACGTTTCCTCGTCCGCAGTGGCCGAAATGAGAACTGCGACCTCGCGACATTTAAACGACTTGACCTAAATCTGGCTAATTTTTTTCAATAAAGGCAACTAATACATTTATTTAAATCCAACACCGGCGATTAAGACTCTTGGTTCTTGTGTATTCCTGGGGGGGGACCAACCTTTTTCCTGGTCGGCCTGGTGGGGATAGTAATTAAGTATAAAGTGTTTTGACGGTTTTTAGCAAATTTTAGGCCTATTTGGATCGGAAAAACTTTTAAAAAGTTAGAAAAACGCTTGAAAAAGTCGAAAATTCGGCCATGTTTGATTTTGATTGCATACCGCAAAATAATTGATTTTTCTACCTAAAATTAAATTTTTTTAGATTTTGTAAAGTTTTTATGTTTAGGATGTTTCGATGCTCCATCGCTGTCGCCGGGCGTATACCACGTGGTCATTTTATATGGGGTTTGAGCGGATGTCCTTGGGAAAAGACGATGTCCTCCTTCCCAGAAACCCAAAATTACCGCACGAAAAGTTGCTCAAAAGCAAAATCTTGGTGTCCTGGCAACTCCAAAAACTGCAAAAAGCCTACGACACTCGGGATTCCCAAGCCGTCTCCGATCCAAGTACTAACCGAGCCCAACGTTGCTTAACTTGGCAGATCGGACGGGATGCCGTGCTTTCAACGTGGTATGGTCGTAGGCGAAAGAAGAAGGCGAGTCGGGGGTTTTCTGCTGGGGGAGGATCCGAGTGAGTACGTGGTGAAGAGAGGTAGCAGACGACTCGTATACTGCAAAACCCTGTCCCCTGTGAAGAGAGTGGTCAGAGAAAGAGGGTGATCGCTCGTTGTGTGGTTGCCCGTCAATAGTTGTCTTCCGTCTCGTTCTCTAGTTGATATCTCCACTCACCCATCCACAGCTTCGGTTTAATTACCCAAGTTTGAGGTTAGCATTAACCCCGAGACCTCCATCAAAAGAGTGTTTCGAACAAATTTTGGAACGCGTTCTCTCACGAGAGCGCACAAATATTTTTGAAAACAGCATGGCTGCGTTCCAAATAACCGTAAACTCAAATCCCTCTCTCCATTATTCTCGTTAACAGATACTACGCGGGCGTCTTGTATGAAAATGGATCCGGTGCCTTGACAGGGTCTTTCGTTCGTAAGTACTTTTTATTATCATAATTGCCATTATTATTATCATAAGCAGGTTGGCAGGCAGTAGCGAGGAAATCTTAGGCGCATTGGCTCGTTAGAGTCGAGTCCTCGTGCCTCACGCCAGGATACGAACAACCAAAAACCAGCAACATGGAAGGCGGCGAAACTCTGAAACCTCAGGATCGCAAAAAAAAAAGGCTCCACCTTCTCAATACCCTAACTAGGGAATGGTCTCTGCTCGGCCTCGAATTTCCGGTTGAAAGTTAGCTCATCTTGTAGAGCTCGACGAGACGAATCGATTGATGTAACTTTTAGCTGCGGATACTGTAATACAAAAAAGTTACAGGCCTTTAAAATTTTTCCTCGGCCTTCATAAGCTCTCCCCACGCCCCCCCTCCACCGTGGTCTGGTGGCCTAGTGGTGTAGCAGTGGGCGTGTGGGGGAATCTAACGAGGGTTCGGACCCGCTCACGATTTTTATTTTTTGCTTTTTGGTCCGAAGCCTCCTTTTTGCGTTCTGAAGGCCGTGAAGAACTTTTTATTCATCATTTCTGCATTAGGAAGTGCTTCCAACAAAAGTGCTGCCGCTAAAAATTTTGCAAAATTTTTTTCGATTAGCCAGCATGCCATTTGTGGGTCAGCTCAAGGTCAATAAAAATAAAAAAATTTTCATCGCATCCGGGGCACGATAGCGATGTTTAAAGGGGATTTCCCACCTGTTGAAATTTATCTAAAATTTTCGAGGCTAGAGCACCAGCCAGTGGGGTCAAAAAAATGGTTTTTTTGCCGAAGCCTCATTTTTGTTCGGAGCACTTCCTAATGCAGAAATGATGAATAAAAAGTTCTTCACGGCCTTCAGAACGCAAAAAGGAGGCTTCGGACCAAAAAGCAAAAAATAAAAATCGTGAGCGGGTCCGAACCCTCGTTAGATTCCCCCACACGCCCACTGCTACACCACTAGGCCACCAGACCACGGTGGAGGGGGCGTGGGGAGAGCTTATGAAGGCCGAGGAAAAATTTTAAAGGCCTGTAACTTTTTTGTATTACAGTATCCGCAGCTAAAAGTTACATCAATCGATTCGTCTCGTCGAGCTCTACAAGATGAGCTAACTTTCAACCGGAAATTCGAGGCCGAGCAGAGACCATTCCCTAGTAAGGAAAATCCAGTGAAAAATAAACAAAATCCTAGTCCCTGTCAGTTCTCCAAAATGCAAAAAGCCTACGACACTCGGGATTCCCAAGCCGTCTCCGATCCAAGTACTAACCGAGCCCAACGTTGCTTAACTTGGCAGATCGGACGGGATGCCGTGCTTTCAACGTGGGATGGTCGTAGGCGGAGGGAGGAGGGGAAGTGGGGGTTTTGTGCTGGGGGGAGGCTGGGGGAGCCCCGAGACCTCCATCACAACGAGTTCGTTCGTTCGACAAGCAAAGTACCGGGTAAGTACCGGGTGTCCCAATAAAAAAGGTCACGCTGGCATTGTGCTATTTCAAATCCGATCGACTTGAAATTTTGTACCGAGGTGCGGAAAGGAATTCAAAATTTTCACGGAAACTTTCAGCCCGATCGGCTCCAAAATTCGGCTTCGGAAAAAGCTTTTTAAGTAACTTTAACCAGGTATTCGCAACCCCGATTTTTGGAAGAATGGTTTAGGGCCGGAAAATGATGTTAATTGATGCAACGTCCAAAAAGGTAGCCGAATAAATGAAGCGAAAGCGTTTGAAAAACAGTATTTTTGCAATAACTCGAAAACTACTGTACCAATCGGGCTGAAAGTTTCTGTAAACATTTAAATTCATTTCTGCAGCTCTGTTAACAATTTTAAGCAGATCGGACTTGAAATCGCAAAATGTCAGCGTTATTTTATCGGGACACCCTGTATAGCCCGCTGAGGCATTTGAAACCAATCTACCTTCAGGAAAATTTATTCGCAAAACCCAAAGGAGCTACGAGGGTGCAGCCTGCAACTCTGATAACTGAACTACACGGAGCCCTTATTTGGAGGGCCATTTCCCGTTGAGGATGTCGATGAATTCGGTTCCGACTGTTGGAGCCGCCGGTCTGGGTGGGTTGAGGATTTCGGTGGGACGTTTCATAAAGCCTCCTTCGTTGACTCGAGTCACTGAACTGGATTTTCATTAAGCGCTACAAAGTTTTTCCGTCTTAAGAAACATTATAATTTATTGCTGTCTTGGAAAATTAAAGACAACCTGCCTCGCTCGGATTTTTTTCCAATCATGACTGAATGTAAAATTGTTTGGTGGACCGGCATACAAATCGACAGCAATCGATGCCCCCGAGACACTCTCTTTATACTGGAATTGCTTTTGCTGCACAAAATTTGCTATTTTTTGCTGATTAACTGATAAGACTTGTGGACTTACCTGGCCAATAGAATTTTTTGAGGCAAGAGTTTTTGGAAGCAAGAGATTGGTTGGGCTTTCGGACGCCGCCTCGTTTGTTACCTTTCAGACTATCCAAAGCCGTTAAAGGGCCAAGCGAAAATACGGTTTTAAACTTTCTCCTGGCAAACCAATTCTGGTATTATAATTTTGTTCAGACTGCCCGAACCGCTCTTCCACAAAAAATGTTAACGTTTGTGATAAAATTTGTTGCGGTGAAGAATCGCCCCTAATCAGCCAACAAATAGGGTCGTAAACTTATTAGGTGCAAGAAATCGGCTTGCATAAAACGACAGGTTACTGGGGTGAGGTTGCTGGAGCCACTAAATACTCGACTATAGAACGTTTCCGGAATGTTCGGCGGACAAACGACATTAGGTAAATTTCTCGGATTTAGCGTGAATACCGTATTGCTTCTACTGTCACATCTACCCCCGTAAAATAAGTCAAAATTTTGATTCATTTTTAGGAAGTGAGTAATGGTTTTGTTTCTGCGTTTCGTTTAAAGCTTGGAACCAGTCGAATGACTCGAAACCGCTCCATTTTCCCCAATTTTCGGTATTATGAACAAAAAATAAGTCATCCTTCTATTTGAAGCCTTCTCTAACACAATCCTCCATTGCGGCAATTGAAAAAACAGGACCCTAGCACTTTTATAGGTGGCAATAAAGTACTATGACTACTTAATTCCATTAAATTTTCACTTCTAGGCCCCACTTCTCATCCCACCACCTCCTGCATTATTCCCGACTGCTGTGGAACCCATCCGTCCCCACTGCTCGCGCCGTCAACAGACATTTTCGGCAATCTGATCATCAGGAAATAAAAATGGGACTTTATTGTTTAGTGAAAGTATTCACAGATTTAATCAACCTGAATAAACGTCTCGACTAAGCGGTCAGTGCCCTGCATTCTATTCAAAATTTCCAACTATGGCCATAGACAGACTGACAGTTGGGGTTGGGCAATGTCCCCCCGTCCCCTGTGAAGAGAGTGGTTAGAGAAAGAGGGTGATCGTTTGTTGTGTGGTTGCCCGTCAATAGTTTTCTTCCGATTCGTCCTCTAGTTGATATCTCCACGCACCCATCCACAGCTTCGGTTTAATTACCCAAGTTTGAGGTTAGCATTAACCCCGAGACCTCCATCAAACGAGTGTTTCGAACAAATTTTGGAACGCGTTCTCTCACGAGGGCGCACAAACCTATTCGAAAAACAGCGTGGTGGTGTGTAAATCGTTAAAGTTGTCTCTGTTTCCTGATTACTGCCCTTGAACGGATGCCAGACGCCACGCTTCGGCAGTTGTCAACGTGGAAAGAGGTGTCTTCTGTACGTCCATCTGGGTTTATCAGAGTCAGAGTCTCAAAATCGAAAGGGCGATCATAACTTCTAAAAGCGCTACTTCTAAGAGCTAGCGTTTCGGATTATCAGGTTTCGGGAAAGTTGGCCATATTTATTCGCAATTCGACGCTAGGACTTTTCGAAGTGCTAAATTCACAAGCAATTCGTTGAGTAGTAATAGAAAGTGAGCCGGATGTTTGCGT